GTTGAGCTGTTCACTGCACCCGGGACGGATTTCTTGTCAAAGCCTTTCTCGCCATCACAAAGCCCTGGGCAGATGCCTTGGCCCTCGATTCATTAAGGTGTCAGCAATGCCCTCGCATTGCCTGTCCCTGTGCTTCGTTCCGCCGCAGGTGCAACCCCGCACTGAAGAGGGGGGCTTTGCGCCTGGGCCTCAATCGGCTGTTTCCGGGGTTGCCTTGGGAAGCAGTGCCCTAGAAAGTGCCACCTTCCCAAGCAACCCGGTAAAAAAGGTGTGCGCTTTGCTGTCGGCTTTTGGGTTCTGGGTTCTTTGTGGTTTGAGGCTAGGAGCAGTGCGCGGGACCTTTAACGCTAAGGGTTTTCTTTTCCCTTGTGTTTTTTAGGTCTGGGGTGAATCTCCTACGCCGCCGCCATTTGGTGCTCCTAGCCCTCAAACTCACGTTTAGGACTTGCAGTCCTGGTTTCGTTTGAAACCCACCCACCCAACCCTTCTAAGCCCTAAGCTTGCTTAGGCCTACCGGACGGCCCTCCAAGCTTGGAGCCCTCCGGACATGAACTGGGAGTGCACTCTCAGCTTCATACCAGGGCCCAGACCCGCGGTTTGGCCCTGCTGGCGTCTCTGGACCCGCAGGTCCTTTGATGCGGGCGTGGGCACGCTTGCCACGCCCCCCGTTTGGCATTTTATCGCAAGGACACGCTTGTTTTGCAACATTGTTTTCCGCAAGGGGGGGGAACATCTCGCCCCTTGTCCTAGGTGCACCGCAGTGCCCTAGGAAAGTGCCACCTTCCCAAGGGGAACATCTCGCCCCTTGTCCTAGGTGCACCGCAGTGCCCTAGGAAAGTGCCACCTTCCCAAGCAACCCGGTAAAAAAGGTGTGCGCCTTGCTGTCGGCTTTTGGGTTCTGGGTTCTTTGTGGTTTGAGGCTAGGAGCAGTGCGCGGGACCTTTAACAAAGGGCAATGCATGCTGCGCCCAACAGGACAGCTGACATTCGCGATATACGAGACTTTTCCCTGGCTGTTGCAGGCTTTGTGGTGTCTGGCCTAGGCTTTGTGGTGTCTGGCCTAGGCCTTGCATTCACGTATGCCTCCTCGGACTTTCGCCTGAAGCGTCTGGCCGTAAAGAAGTTCATGGCACCCTATGAGCCAGCCATGTCTCCGGACGAGGTCGTCCCACGAAAGGTCGTAGATGACATTCGACATAGGCTGAGCAGCTGGCGGCAGAAGTCCGACGCGACCATCGTGAGTGGCCGCTACAAATCCGGCAAGACTGTGGCCGTGGAAGAGGCCTTGCGCGGTGTTTGTGGTGTGTGGGCCTTCACGGTCGAGGTGGAAGACTGGAAGCCTGCCATAAGAACCTGACCCAATATCCTATCCTGCTTCTGGACATTCCTCGCGACACCAAAGGAGGCCTGCGCGCACTTTGTGAATAGCGTCAGCGTTTGCAAGCAACTCCCCTGAGGTAAGGAGGAGGGGATGAAGTTGGTTTCCACCACAGCGAAGGACATGTCGAGTGATTCACGCTACGCAGCATCGGCACATGTCCCACGGCTGATAGTCAATCCATGAATCAACTCCGACTTCCTTGTTGGGTCGCCGCTTTCCCAGTCTCAATGCATTTCAGGTGCTGGTGGCCGCCTCATCTGCTGCCTCGGCTCTGGCGTTTGATGCTGGCGGTCGCAGATTCGACATCTGGGTGGGCGACGTGACCGAGAAGGAGGCGAGTGAGTTGCTCAAGATGCACGAGCACGAGTCGGCCGCGACAGCAATCATTGACAATTGTGCTGTGGCAGGCAATGCTTCAGGCTTCTGTCAAGCTGTTGTTTTGAATGCTTCCCTTTGTTGCGTGAGCACAGAGTTTCAATAAGGTGGCCGCCGCGCTGGTGATTTGGTGGATGCATGCATTATGCTGAAGTGCCTTCTCTAAACACTTTGCCCGTGTTTTGCTTTGCAGTCACGTTTCTGAGCTTTGTGTGAGACTCGCTTTCGGTGTCATTTCCCCTCTGAGGAGAGGAATCAATCTGAGCGACATCAAGGTCGATTTCCACAATATGGCAAAAAAAGACGTGGTGAACTTCATGAGTCTTACACTTGATGGAAAGCAGGTGGGTCAACAGATTTTAAACGCACTGCTTCAGAGCGGAGGCGCAGGCATTAAGGCAGTCATCAATACTACCGCCTATGAGCCACGCAAAATTGCAAAGCTCATTCGCGATAAGAACGCGCATGCCATCATATGGCATCCTACAGAGAAGCTTTACAGGTTTGCTTCAAGCTTGCACGCGACAATCGCCAAACAGAAGATGCCCTGAAAAGCTTGCACGAGGAAGTTGCCTCATGGTAGGTTGATGTGCCGACTTGTTGCAGACAGTTATTTTGGTTCCTTGCGCGCAGCGGTTGAGTTCCTGTGTTTTCGCGTTTCTGCATGATGGCACAGTTTTCGAGAGAAGGGTTGGCTTTGAAGAGCTGTGCGAACAACCATCCCAGAACTGGTGTTTGGGCTCTCAGAATGCAGGGTTTAGCTTCAGGATCAGTTTTAGAGGGATTTGAACAGCCGATGTCGGCGCTGCCTACTAAGAGGCAAGGCTTCTCGAAAGTGTCGGCTTGCTCACCCCCTAAACTTTCAAGGCCACAAAACCCTAGACCCCACTCCGATGCAGAAGGTGGGTCCTTCGGTTCAGCGTGCTGGACGTTTGGGGCTCGTGAGCGCAGTTGCAAAAGTCTGTGTCGCACGATGGCTTCAGCTGTGTTGGACGACGTGGTGTCTCAATCTTATCGCGCATGCATTCAGCCATTCAGCTGCTCATTGCCTTGTTGGCCTTTCGTGCCAATGCAGTGATGGCCATGAGACGCCGCAAAGGAAGTGTGCCATTGTTCTGCGCGATTGCTGCAGCAGCTTGTTTCAGCTTGCCGCAGACGGACTTCACCCTGCTGCCAGAGCCCTTTCCGCAGAAGGCATCCGCCCTCAGTGGCAGAGCGAATCGCGGTGGAGGAGGCCATTTCATTGGACGCAGCTGGGCCGCTTTGGCTGCATCGTAGTTTTTTTTTTAACTACTCATGCTAAAGTTTTTGTTTTGTTTTTCCCCCGAGCAAGGCAAAACCGGGGAGTTGCAGAAGACGGCCCAGCGCGCCACCGACCCAACTGAATGCGTGGCCGCAGCTTCGAGCTGTGATACAAAGGGCAATGCATGCTGTGCCCAACAGGACAGCTGACATTCGCGATATACGAGACTTTTCCCTGGCTGTTGCAGGCTTTGTGGTGTCTGGCCTAGGCTTTGTGGTGTCTGGCCTAGGCCTTGCATACACGTATGCCTCCTCGGACTTTCGCATGAAGCGTGTGGCCGTAAAGAAGTTCATGGCACCCTATGAGCCAGCCAAGTCTCCGGACGAGGTCGTCCCACGAAAGGTCGTAGAGGACATCCAACATAGGCTGAGCAGCTGGCGGCAGCAGTCCGACGCGACCATCGTGAGTGGCCGCTACAAATCCGGCAAGACTGTGGCCGTGGAAGAGGCCTTGCGCGGTGTTTGTGGTGTGTGGGCCTTCACGGTCGAGGTGGAAGACTGGAAGCCTGCCATGTACCAAATGCTTGGAGTGAAGGACGCGAACATGTTTGCCGAGGTGCTTCGTCGTGTCCGCGCCAAGTTGCAAAAGAAGAAGTTTGCAAAGAACCTGACCCAATATCCCATTCTGCTTCTGGACATTCCTCGCGACACCAAAGGAGGCCTGCGCGCACTTTGTGAATAGCGTCAGCGTTTGCAAGCAACTCCCCTGAGGTAAGGAGGAGGGGATGAAGTTGGTTCCACCACAGCGAAGGACATGTCGAGTGATTCACGCTACGCCGCAACGGCACATGTCCCGCGGCTGATAGTCAATCCATGAATCAACTCTGACTTCCTTGTTGATTCGCCGCTTTTCCAGTCTCAATGCATTTCAGGTGCTGGTGGCCGCCTCATCTGCTGCCTCGGCTCTGGCGTTTGATGCTGGCGGTCGCAGATTCGACATCTGGGTGGGTGACATGACCGAGAAGGAGGCGAGTGAGCTGCTCAAGATGCACGAGCACGAGTCGGCCGCGACAGCAATCATTGACAATTGTGCTGTGGCAGGCAATGCTTCAGGCTTCTGTCAAGTTTCTTTTTGAATGCTTCCCTTTGTTGCGTGAGCATAGAGTTCCAGTAAGGTGGCCGCCGCGCTGGTGATTTGGTGGATGCATGCAGTATGCTGAAGTGCCTTCTCTAAACACTTTGCCCGTGTTTTGCTTTGCAGTCACGTTTTTGACTTTTGTGCGAGACTCGCTTTCGGTGTCTTTTCCCCTCTGAGGAGAGGAATCAATCTGAGCGACATCAAGGTCGATTTCCACAATATGGCAGAACAAGACGTGGTGAACTTCATGAGTCTTACACTTGATGGAAAGCAGGTGGGTCAGCAGATTTTAGACGCACTGCTTCAGAGCGGAGGCGCGGGCATTGAGGCAGTCATCAATACTACCGCCTATGAGCCACGCGAAATTGCAAAGCTCATTTGTGATAAGAACGCGCATGCCATCATATGGCATCCTACAGAGAAGCTTTACAGGTTTGCTTCAAGCTTGCACGCGACAATCGCCAAACAGAAGATGCCCTGAAAAGCTTGCACGAGGAAGCTGCCTCATGGTAGGTTGATGTGCCGCCTTGTTGCAGACAGTTATTTTGGTTCCTTGCGCGCAGCGGTCGAGTTCCTGTGTTTTCGCGTTTTTGCATGATGGCACAGTTTTCGAGAAAAGGGTTGGCTCTGAAGAGCTGTGCGAACAACCATCCCAGAACTGGTGTTTGGGCTCTCAGAATGCAGGGTTTAGCTTCAGGATCAGTTTTAGAGGGATTTGAACAGCCGATGTCGGCGCTGCCTACTAAGAGGCAAGGCTTCTCGAAAATGTCGGCTTGCTCACCCCCAAAACTTTCAAGGCCACAAAACCCTAGACCCCACTCCGATGCAGAAGGTGGGTCCTTCGGTTCAGCGTGCTGGACGTTTGGGGCTCGTGAGCGCAGTTGCAAAAGTCTGTGTCGCACGATGGCTTCAGCTGTGTTGGACGACGTGGTGTCTCAATCTTATCGCGCATGCATTCAGCCATTCAGCTGCTCATTGCCTTGTTGACCTTTCGTGCCAACGCAGTGATGGCCATGAGACGCCGCAAAGGAAGTGTGCCATTGTTCTGCGCGCTTGCTGCAGCAGCTTGTTTCAGCTTGCCGCAGACGGACTTCACTCTGCTGCCAGAGCCCTTTCCGCAGAAGGCATCCGCCCTCAGTGGCAGAGCGAATCGCGGTGGAGGAGGCCATTTCATTGGACGCAGCTGGGCCGCTTTGGCTGCATCGTAGTTTTTTTTGTTTTTTACTACTCATGCTAAAGTTTTTGTTTTGTTTTTCCCCCGAGCAAGGCAAAACCGGGGAGTTGCAGAAGACGGCCCAGCGCGCCACCGACCCAATTGAATGCGTGGCCGCAGCTTCGAGCTGTGATACAAAGGGCAATGCATGCTGTGCCCAACAGGACGGCTGACATTCGCGATATACGAGACTTTTCCCTGGCTGTTGCAGGCTTTGTGGTGTCTGGCCTAGGCTTTGTGGTGTCTGGCCTAGGCCTTGCATTCACGTATGCCTCCTCGGACTTTCGCATGAAGCGTCTGGCCGTGAAGAAGTTCATGGCACCCTATGAGCCAGCCAAGTCTCCGGACGAGGTCGTCCCACGAAAGGTCGTAGATGACATCCGACATAGGCTGAGCAGCTGGCGGCAGCAGTCCGACGCGACCATCGTGAGTGGCCGCTACAAATCCGGCAAGACTGTGGCCGTGGAAGAGGCCTTGCGCGGTGTTTGTGGTGTGTGGGCCTTCACGGTCGAGGTGGAAGACTGGAAGCCTGCCATGTACCGAATGCTTGGAGTGAAGGACGCGAACATGTTTGCCGAGGTGCTTCGTCGTGTCCGCGCCAAGTTGCAAAAGAAGAAGTTTGCAAAGAACCTGACCCAATATCCCATTCTGCTTCTGGACATTCCTCGCGACACCAAAGGAGGCCTGCACGCACTTTGTGAATAGCGTCAGCGTTTGCAAGCAACTCCCCTGAGGTAAGGAGGAGGGGATGAAGTTGGTTTCCACCACAGCGAAGGACATGTCGAGTGATTCACGCTACGCCGCAACGGCACATGTCCCGCGGCTGATAGTCAGTCCATGAATCAACTCTGACTTCCTTGTTGAGTCGCCGCTTTCCCAGTCTCAATGCATTTCAGGTGCTGGTGGCCGCCTCAGCTGCTGCCTCGGCTCTGGCGTTTGATGCTGGCGGTCGCAGATTCGACATCTGGGTGGGCGACATGACCGAGAAGGAGGCGAGTGAGTTGCTCAAGATGCACGAGCACGAGTCGGCCGCGACAGCAATCATTGACAATTGTGCTGTGGCAGGCAATGCTTCAAGCTGTTGTTTTGAATGCTTCCCTTTGTTGCGTGAGCATAGAGTTCCAGTAAGGTGGCCACCGCGCTGGTGATTTGGTGGATGCATGCAGTATGCTGAAGTGCCTTCTCTAAACACTTTGCCCGTGTTTTGCTTTGCAGTCACGTTTCTGACCTTTGTGTGAGACTCGCTTTCGGTGTCATTTCCCCTCTGAGGAGAGGAATCAATCTGAGCGACATCAAGGTCGATTTCCACAATATGGCAGAAAAAGACGTGGTGAACTTCATGAGTCTTATACTTGATGGAAAGCAGGTGGGTCAGCAGATTTTAAATGCACTGCTTCAGAGCGGAGGCGCGGGCATTAAGGCAGTCATCAATACTACCGCCTATGAGCCACGCAAAATTGCAAAGCTCATTCGCGATGAGAACGCGCATGCCATCATATGGCATCCTACAGAGAAGCTTTACAGGTTTGCTTCAAGCTTGCACGCGACAATCGCCAAACAGAAGATGCCCTGAAAAGCTTGCACGAGGAAGTTGCCTCATGGTAGGTTGATGTGCCGACTTGTTGCAGACAGTTATTTTGGTTCCTTGCGCGCAGCGGTTGAGTTCCTGTGTTTTCGCGTTTCTGCATGATGGCACAGTTTTCGAGAGAAGGGTTGGCTTTGAAGAGCTGTGCGAACAACCATCCCAGAACTGGTGTTTGGGCTCTCAGAATGCAGGGTTTAGCTTCAGGATCAGTTTTAGAGGGATTTGAACAGCCGATGTCGGCGCTGCCTACTAAGAGGCAAGGCTTCTCGAAAGTGTCGGCTTGCTCACCCCCTAAACTTTCAAGGCCACAAAACCCTAGACCCCACTCCGATGCAGAAGGTGGGTCCTTCGGTTCAGCGTGCTGGACGTTTGGGGCTCGTGAGCGCAGTTGCAAAAGTCTGTGTCGCACGATGGCTTCAGCTGTGTTGGACGACGTGGTGTTTCAATCTTATCGCACATGCATTCAGCCATTCAGCTGCTTACCCTTTATGGAAACATTGCCTTGTTGACCTTTCGTGCCAACGCAGTGATGGCCATGAGACGCCGCAAAGGAAGTGTGCCATTGTTCTGCGCGATTGCTGCAGCAGCTTGTTTCAGCTTGCCGCAGACGGACTTCACCCTGCTGCCAGAGCCCTTTCCGCAGAAGGCATCCGCCCTCAGTGGCAGAGCGAATCGCGCTGGAGGAGGCCATTTCATCGGACGCAGCTGGGCCGCTTTGACTGCATCTTTTTTTTTTTTTTT